GTGTGTGTGTGTGTGTGTGTGTGTGTGTGTGTGTGTGTGTGTGTGTGTGTCTCCTCCTCTAAATGATGTTCCTGGGGTTATTTCTGACCCAATGCCCAGAAACCAGACCTGAAGCTTTAGTGGAGCTGTCCAGGTCTATGCTTTAAGTCCCTCAGGGACTCCTTTCATGGCTCTCAGCACAAATGTCTGGCTTCCCATCCGCTCCCACGAGGCTCTCCGAGGACTCCAGCCTGGTCCTGCTCACCATTCCCAATCTTCATTCCATCCACACACATGCATCCACTAAACTTGGCCTTGGTCCACACTGTCCCCTCTTCCCAGAAACTTACATTCTCTTTCTGTTCCTTTTAGGGATAACAGCCTCTTCACCTTTGCTCACTTCCTGTGTATGTCCTCATGTACCTCCCAAATCTAGATATAACAGACATCATGGCGTCATAGGATACTGTGCTAGTCAGTCGCCCCAAGGTACATTTCTTCCAGTAAAGGGCTTTAAATTGGTCAGGGCTCAGACAGGAAAGCACATGGTGGACACTCTGAAATTGTTGTCACATAACATGCCCGGCTGAGTGAATGACCCATTAAAATGGCCACATAATCCTGTTGGTTCAGACGGGTACAGAAGGGGAAACAGACTTGTTTAAGGTCCCTCAGGTGGTAAATGGTAGATTGTAGCATGTGAGCCTAAACCTGTACAAATTCAGAGCCCCAACCGTCAGTCTCGGGTAAGGTCTGTAATGACTGGTTTTGAGACAGAATAGAAATGATTTAGTCTGGCGAGCAGATGAACTGAAGGGTGTCCTTTGGAAAGTAACAGGGAAGTTGATGACTCAGCAGAAGAAAGTTCTAGACAGGTGAAGGTGAGCTTCAGGAGGAAAAAGTCAAAGCATTCATCATGCACGTGCCCTTAGTACAGTGTCTGCCGCAGAGAAGGGGGCGTATAAACACTCCCCGAGGCGGAGCTGGTGGGACACCGAAGATGAGAAAAGACTCGCAGGAAACATAGGAGGAGAGGCCTCCAGAAGGGGAGCTCTGCTCTGCAGATGGTGACTGTGGTGGTTTGCATAAGAAGGGTCATAGATTGAAATGTCTGTTCACCAGGGAGTGGCACTACTTGAAAGGATTAGGAGGTGTGGCCTTATTGGAGGAAGCCACTGGGGGTGGGCTTTGAAGTTTTCAAAAGCCCACTCATTCCACGCTCGGTGTGGTTCTTTCTTCCTGCTGCCTACACATCTGGATGTGGATCTCCAACACCATCTCTGCCTGTGTGTCACCGTGCGCCACTGTGCTCCCCACCATGATGTTAATAACCAAACCTCCGGAACTGTAAGCAAGCCCCAGTTGTGGTGGTTTGAAGAAGAATGGCCCCCGCTAGGCTCATAGATTTAAATGTCTGATCCCCAGGGAGTGGCACTATTCGAAAGGATTAGGAGGTGTGGCCTTGTTGGAGGACATGTGTCACTGGGGGTGGGTTTTGAGGTTTCAAAAGTCCAGACCAAGCCCAGAGTCTCTTTCTCTCTCTCAGTCAGCAGATCAGGATGTAGCTCAGCGCTAACTCCAGCGCTATCTCTGCCTACTCGCCACCATGCTCCCCACCATGATGATAACGGACTAAACCTCTGAAACTGTAAGCAAGCCCCAATTAAATGTTTTCTTCTATAAGAGTTGTCAGAGTCATGGTGTCTCTTCACAAAACAGAACAGTGACCAAGACAGTGGTCCATGCTGCCCCTTGGGTCAACGTGCATGCAAACAACCACACATAGAACACTGCTTTCTGTATGAGGTAAGCACCACCTGCCGGGCAAATCTTAAAGGGAGGCGTGAACTGACTACAGTGCCGATTCCCTCACCTACGGGGATGAATGGCCTTTGTGTGCTCCTGTTTTCTCAACTTGCTTGTTCTTTGACCCCGGATCTACAGCAGGATCTTTCCATTACCTTCTCAGGCCTCAGCTAATGTCCTGTAGAGACTGCCCCAGCTGCCTGTGTGGAGCAGGCTTTCCCACAGGGCACTGCCTTACCCCTGAACCCCAGTCTTCTTCTCAGAAACCCCCTAAGACCTGAATCATTTTCTTCCTGCAAAATCCACCAAAAACAAAGGGAGGGAGATCCTTCACTCTCCACAAAATTTCCACCTGACAGACAAAGCTGTGGCTACTGACCCAGTGTCAGTGACTGGATTTGAAAACTGGGTTACCTGGGAATTTGAGAGACGCTCCCTTTGTTAGCCACCTTTCTACCAGTTGGCCCTTTTCACTGCGCTCAATGATAGCTCTTTCTCAATGAAATCTCTCAAGCTAAAAAGTCAAAGGAGTTGCATGTTGTTGCGTACACAAAAGTCCCAGAATCCAAACCTGTTTCACACAGACGAATACTGCCTTCAGTGTACAAACATTTCACACACGCGTGCTTCTCACAGGCAGATGCCCATTGGACAATGGCTACTCACACAGATATCCACGAGGAACATGATGTACCCTCAAGGTGGTCTTGACATAGAGTTCTCTATTCTCAGCTGTATTCTCAGCCAGGGTTGTTCCCCAGAGTCCTAAGGGTGTGAAAAGATGCTCAGAGTCCCCAGCAGCTCATCTTCCCAGTTATTCATTCCTCCCTGTCCCTAGACCTCACCCCGTTTCTACCCTGTCCTTTCTTGCCCATTCTATGACCCCTGGGACCTGGCTACACACACCCCTGCCTGCCCTCCTACAAAGCCCGTGGGAGACAAGGTGAGGACACTGGGTGAAAGAGAAGCAGTGAAGGGGGTGGGCATCTGCTCCAGGTGGGCCCCCCCACCTCAGTCCCCCAGGCACCACACTCCTCCACACCCTCTGGGTCCCCAAGTGGTGACAATGCCAGGTGACCTTTCTGGGAAACCAGGACCCTGGCCTCTGTGTCCTGGCCAAGCAACTCTGACACAGGCAGACCAAAGACACCAAAATTTCAATTTTAGTACTTCCTCTGAGCACCTGCTCTCCACAGAGCTACTCAAGCCCCTTCGGACTCTAGTACCCCGGGAGAGCATCCCGGTCTGAGACCTATGACACAGAGACTGATAAGGAGACAGCAGCTGGGCACCAGTGTTCCGTGTCTCCTCCTGGCCTCTGTCCTCAGGCTTCCTGGGCTGAGGCTGGGGGAGTGCTATATTGAGGACAGTGAGGATCCTCAGGGTCCCATTCAAGGAAGTGAAGCTGCTGCAGGCAAGGTCATCCCAGGCCCTGTTCCCCAGTGTTTACAGTTCATGACCCTTGGGATATTCCGCAGCATTCATGGGAAAGGATGTTCCCACTCTTAAGGTAGAAACAATGACAAAGGCCCAGTTGGGCACAGGCAGAAGAGAAACAAGGCAACGGCCCCTAAGAGCAGGCTCTGCCTCTGGTCTGTGGGGGGAAGCTGAGATCCCCGGGTGGACAGGAAGGTGATAACAGGGATGGCTTCTTCTCTTTCTCTTTCCCTCTCTGTATTCCCCTTCCTCTCCTTCTCTCTCTGCAGGCCCAGGACACATGAGCTGTGAGGAACTGAATCAGGAGTTAAAGAGAAGGGAGAATGTTGTGCAGATAAAGTAGGAGGGGGAGCAGGAAACAGAAGCCAGTGCTGGGGTCAGGTGGACCCTGGGATGCAATGTCTAGATACCCTACTAAAGAGATGATCAAAGGGCAGTGGAGGGACTGGGGAAAGGGTGCTGTGGAACATCATGGTGGGTCTCAGCTGGCATCCACTGCAAGCACTGGATTTGGGTAGGGACAAGGCCGGGGACAGGATGTAAGAGGTGTTCCTCCCCATCAGCTCAGCAGCGGTCTCCCAGGTCCTTCTGTGTGTCCTAATGAGTGAGGAAAAAGACTCCTCTCTCAATCTGCCCGATGTCTGTGGAATAGACCGGAGCAGAAGCCAACCCTGTCTCAGAGGGTGCTGGTCTCCAACAAAATCTCCAGCATTAAGTGTCCTTAGAAAGAGACGACAACCAGCTCAGCCCCTTGATAACTCAACGTACCCAGTTTTAGGACAGTGAGGGAAAAGTGTGTCATACCCGTGAATCTATCACATGAATTTCTACCCAAGGACCCGACAATGGAAAGAGGTGACTCCCTCCACGGCTGGCATCTGAGGACTGTCTGATCCCCCACCCCAGAAGGGCACTGTCCATCTCTCCCCTGTACCAGCCAGTGAGATGCACTGAGGTGCCCACTTTCCTTGGAGAAAATGGTGAGGAGCTGGGCAAGGGTGGAGCAACTTGCATTGGAGCAGCTGAGTAAGTAGGGAGGGAGCCGCTGGCTCTCAACCAAAAGCCTTTTGAACAGTTGCACAAGGACTCCAGACTTGTAAAATTAGACCCTGGGATGGGGTCAGGAATGGGATGGCAACAGTGTGGTCCCTGAGAAGCAGAGAGAGGAACATGAGCTGGTTTCCCATTCCCTTGGGCAGTTCTGAAATCTGGAGGTGGCCTGTGGTCAGCAGGGGTCTGAGGGGACTTGAGGACACTCCTCCTGTGACAGGTCTCCCCATTCTGAGAGCTCTAGACCATGATCAACCCATCCAATTGCTTTTCCCTGCTCGATACTGAGTCCTTGCACCCCGTGGATCGGATCACACCACCCTGTGGGGCAGGCTATGCAGCACAGATTGAGAAATCTCAGAAGGCATCCTCATTCCTCTGCTGTTTAAACCCACTCAAGCAGTCATGAATGTGGTAATCAAGAGGAATCTCATGACACTTTTGCCCGGCAATTCTCCAAGCTCTCAAACTTCATGGCACACTCAACTTTTCCTGTTAACAGAGCAATCAGGTGGTCAAAACAGCAGGCTGTTGCCCAAGCAAGGCGGGATGGTGTTCAAGCATCTATTACAATGCTGCGGGAGTCAACAAACTGGGTTAGGGAGCAGTTATACAATACTAGAGACTGAAGATGTGAAAGTCGCCAAAAGGAGGCTTCCAGAGGACCCCTATAATGACAAGATTTTTGTATTAAGAGACCCTGGACCTGACCATGATGCGTCTGCTCTTGCCTAAGGAACAATGGATGAGATACGAGGAGCTAAATCCTACTTCAGCCACATCTGAAGATGCTGTTCAGGAAAGAGAAGCGATAGAATGGGCGCAGAAGTGATCGTGTAGTTAAGATCCGTGGACGTGCCCGGTCTAGAGCGCTTCTGAAGCTGCTTCAACCAGAATCACCATTTAAGAATGATTTGCTCTGCAGCTGTCTCACCTTAAATAAATGTCTATTTATCTAAATTATAATTATTTAAATTATTAAATGTCATAAAGAAGGGGCAAAGAGGGTGGATACTGGGAGTGAGGAGCCTCAGACTCAAGCTGCCTCTTGACCAGCTAAGCAAAAGCTCATATATAGTTTACACCATCCTCAAGTCCACAGCAATCCTCCTGCCTCAGTTTCCTAAATTCCAGGATTATAGATACACACCATCATGCCTGTCTAAAAGGCCCATTTTCTGTCCTATGGAGAAAGCTCTAAACCATGTGTTCCTGAGATTCAGAAATAGTTTGCTGCCACTAAGCAAAGAGACCAAGTTCTAAGACCAAAGGGAGGGATCCTTATGCCTCTGCATAAAGGCTGGCCTGGGGCAGGAGCGTGAGTGGAGCTGCGTCTGGATCAGACATCAGATCTTTCCCTCCAGGTCCACATCCAACCTCATTTCCGTTCCAAAAAGGGGTTGTCTCCTTAGAACCTGGAAAAGAAGCAGACATTCATGAAAGAGCAAGGCAAGCTGGCGAAACCACACGGTGATCCAGTTTCTGATTGAGAATTGAGAAGTGGTGGCTTTTATCCCTTTTTCTGTTTGGCCTTTCACTCCCGAATCTAGGACTCTGCCAGTATGGTTGGTAACAGCTTCTTTTAGGCGATAAGTTTCAACAATGCAAAAAAGGTTAAGTAAATAATGAGGTAGCTTCAAAATGAGTGATTGTGGCAAACTTAACTGTTTTGGAATGATATTCAGTGTCGTAAGGCAGTAGCACCAGCTATTCTATCATTACATATACCTACAGCACGGCACGGTACTTTATGTGTATTTTATGCTGACATGGATACATAGAGTAAAATGAATTTTAAAATAGCAGTGGCATTTATAGGCAATATAGTTCGAGATTTATAGGTAATATAGTTCCAGATTTATAGGTAATATAGTTCCAGATTTTTCAGCTTGGTCATTTTTTCTTTCTGCAACATTTGATATTTTCCTATTTGGAAGACAATGACCTAGGACAAGGAAGCCATCTGGCTTTCTGAGACTTGAGACTCCTTTGATCCTAGACTGAGAGACTCCCCTGCAGCTCGGCAGGCCATCATGAAGCTCGTTTCTTACAAGGAAGTCCTCCATGCAGTGGGAACTTGTGGTGGTGGCTTCCTCCCCGCAGATTCCAGCTAGAGAGGGAGGAATAAAATGGAATGTGTGGTGACTGTGACAAGGGACATGTTGAAAGGGGTGGCAACTCACGGTGGTCCGGAGGAACGGCCTGTTAATCCCACAGGCCAAGGAGAAGACCACTACTATAGTTTAAAGCCAAATTTGAAGCAAACTTTAATTACATACTGGCCAGGTTGATGGACTCTCTGGCCAGGTCCATACCCGGGTTCCCAGGAAATGGCCACAAGTCACACCTTGCAGAGGCTGAAAAGGTTACCCCACAAGGCCCATCAGGTCCAATCAGGGGCAAGTATACATTTTTCCTGCCTACCTACACCTCTCCCATCCCCCACCGTTCACCCTCTGCATCCAACTAGAGGTGCGCGTACACCCTGATGTTGACGTATTTCCTGCCCACTTGTGATCAAACACATTGGTGCAGAGGGGTCAAACAAACGTGTTGGGGAGTGGAGACACAAATAGCCTCCAGCATTTCACTTCGGTTCTCACAGGACCAGGAAATGGAAGGTCATAAAGGGAAGATGGAGGGAATTGCATTGAGGTGAGCTTTTTAGGTGGGTGACCAAAGAAAGCGTGGTTACTAAGTACTCACCACCCAGAGGCCAGGCATGTTGTGGCATAATATCTTGTGTTACCTCTCAGATAATCGTGTGTGTGTGTGTGTGTGTGTGTGTGTGTGTGTGTGGTATACAAGGGTATGTACGCATAGCTGTGAATGGCCATGAGAGTTAGAAGTTGGCAGAGGCTGTCTGACTAACCTGGAGCCACCTTTTCGGCTACACTGATCGGCGTTTCTGCACAGTCTTTACTCCAGTTCCTGCCCGATTTCAGTTCCTGCTTTGGCCTCCCTCAATGATCAACTGTGATTAGTGTAAGTCAAACAGTCCCTTTCCTCCCCCAGTTGCTTTTGGTCATGGTCCTTTTCACAGCAATAGAAAGTAGACTAGAACAACCAATGAGTCCCAGAATCCTCATGTCTCTGCTCCCACCCCACCGCCATGGATGTTAAAACCACACCTGGTTTTCACACTGGGGCTGGGGATAGCCCTTCATGCTGACACAGCAAGCGCCTTACACGCTGAGCCAGTTCTCGAACTCTACTTTCACACTCATAGGGTTTTATGGGGTCTGTTTGCATTATCAGACAAAGAAACCGGGGTTCAGAGCAATAACTTCCCGTGAACTTAAGCTTCAAGACCAGAACTGTGATACAAAGAAAAAAAGCTGGTCGATTCACACAGAAAGACTTTATCAGTGCTTTGCCTGGTATAGCCACCAGGTGGCAGCAGGATCCTAGCCCCCACCTCTGTCCCCACTAGGGTTCTCCAAAGGGGTCCCAAACTGCAACCATCTTGCTCCCCAGAGCCTTCTTGTTACCTCCCCCTTTCCTCTGGGTAGCTGAAGGCTCCTGTCTGGTTCTGTCAGCAGATCCTAATCCCCAGGGGCTGGCCACTCCAGGAGTCTGGTTGCCCTCTGTGTGGAACTGGGTCCTCTGAGAAGCAGACGCTGCACTAATATGTGAGGTTTGCCATGAGGTGGGGCTGAGTTCACAGGGCCAGAAGTTCTTATGCTCACGTCTGTCCCTGAGTAAGGGAGATGGGGGTAGTTAGTGAGTTACTATGGTATGGCCTAAAAAAGAAGGGAGGAGGTTGGTAAAACCTTCAGGGAGTCAAAATAGGCCATCAGAGGAGCTCTGTGTCTCCCGGGACTGGGCTTGCCCCCTCCTTGATTGGCTTCTCTGTTTCTGGGCCAAGAGCTATCAAGGAGAGTGTGGCTTCCAGTATGTTTACCACTCTTGATCAGAGGCTCTCCCTGTAATTGGAGGTCTATGATTTAGGTCTTCTCCTGGTGGCCCCAGGCTCCCCGGCAGGCTCAGCTCTTGGGAGTGTCCACCAAGCGCTATGCCTGCTCCCCACCTCTGAGTGGACAATTCAATCCTTATCTCCCACTTCCTGAGTTGACCTCACTGCTTCTTGTCAATTCCTTCCCGGCAGTCAGAGGAACGGCTCCTCCCTCCCCTCTCTGAATGGGACCCTGTTGCCGGACTTCCAGACACACTCACCAAGTCAGTCTTAACTCCCTCGCATCTGTCTTTGACTGCTTCTTGGTTACAGTCTTAACTGTGAATGCTGGTTAGTTTCAGCCCCTCCACCCAGGCCCAGACACCGGCCTCCTTGGCAAGCGGCTGGTTTACCAACATCAGGTCCCATACCCTTTGAGGACGCTCTACCCTGTATCAGAGTCAACAATGAGGTCACTGCCCTAGGCAAGACCAAGTAGATGACAGGCAGCTTTGCCAGGTGACCCAGAGGGTGAGGTAATTACCGGGCATCAGGTAGAATATGCTGGCAACTGTCTGTGGAAAGAAGTTTGAGAAGAGAATGTTAGGGGAAGAGAAAAATGAATCCGTGGACCGTCCTGAGCCCCCTCTGTGGGTGTGGGTGCTCTTTAGGGCGGAAGCTCGGTGGTGAGGCTGAGCCCCTCCCCCTCCCCAGGATGAACTCCTCCCCGCTGGTTCTTAGCTGGGGATGAAAGCAGCTGCTCTGGGCTGTTTGGTTTGCAGCTTAACGGCCACCTGCAGCTTCTTTCTAGCCTTAGAGCGATTGTCAAGCCTCCGCCCACTCATCCACGCAGAGCACGTCTGAGAGTCTCTAAGACACTAACAGCCTCTCCCCAGGTCTCTATCATTCCGTTCTCACTTTCCCAGGGAAGTTTACAGATCTTAGGCTGCCGACTCGGGCCTTCAGAGAGCGCCGGCCTGTCGCCGAAGTCGCCTGCGTGGGGGGTACACACTAAGTAAAGGCGACCCTCCCCCTCCCCCCCCCCACATCCCTGAAGTCACACCTTCCTACACAGGAATTCCCTCCTCGCCTCCTAAGGCTCAGGAGCTGGGGACAGTCTGGCTGCCGAGAGCTGTAGGCGAATCATCAACCTCGTGATCTGAAGCCATCCTTCCCCCCCCCACCCCCATAGACAGGGACACATTCTCCGCCTCACAGGCCTGAACTCTCAACGTAGCCCCTTGACACACACTCTGTTTACCTGTGGCCTTGGGGCCTGAGCTCACACGGGAGCCTCCGTCCTGCTGTCTGTCTGTCTGTCTGTGGTGTTAATAACTCCCCTAATGAATCTCTATCCAAAAGGTCAGTTTGCCTCAGTGTCCCCCTTGAACTCCAAACTCGGAAACTTTCACTGCTTTAATGGAAACCCGAGATGGCAAGAGCCTGTCTGAGGCAAACAGCATTGCAAGTCCAGAGTCCCTTTGGGAAGAGAGGAGGAAACGATGCAGGCAGGGCTTTGAAAGGGAATCTAGCCAAGCCCTGGTGGGGAAGGGCCTGGCAGGCCTGGAAATCCACCAGGGTCACATTCTCTTATGCCTTGGCTTCCAAAGTCAAAGCTGAGGGCATGGGTGAGTATTCCCCTTCTGTATCTTGGACAGGGGAAGAGAGATAAGAAGGGAAACAGGGTTGGAAAGGGGAGGAGAAGACAGCTGTAGTTAGCCTAGGGGTCTTTCAAATTGTCCCTTACTTAGGGGCCTGGAGTGCATCCTTGGGGCCAAGAGAAACAGGGCCTGAAGATAATGATCTTCAACTGTACTTAGCAGGTCTGTTCTGTGGTCGGAAGGAACCATATATCAAGCAAAAATGTGCAAAGTCCCTGTTCCATCCCTTCACCTCAAGCCTGGTTTCTTGCCCTGTCCAATTTTAGGGGTTCCTTCATTGAGAAGGCCTCTCTCCCCTTCCCTAAACTCCTGTCCCACTGGAGAGGCCGTTTGCATCATGTGTCACCAGATACTGGCCTGTGGAGGTGGCTTCTGAGCTTTGTCCCATGTCTCTTAGAAATCTGTGAGCTCCCTGAGGTGGCAGGAGCTTGGCTCAGTTCCTCCGCATGGAGCAGAGCATCGGATGCCCACTGGGCACTGAGGAGGCCCAGTTGATGCTCAGGCCCCGAGGGGTTACCTCGGCACAGAGCACGGGTTGAGAGGATCACAGACTCCAGGCTGGGGTTAGATGGTGGCCAGCTGCCCTCTGGACCTCGTAGCCCTGCTGTGGCCTCTGCTGTGTCAGTGCAAACCAAGAGTGACACCAGAACAGCAAGGTTACTGCAGGATGAGGCAAGGTGGGGACAATGGGCTGGCTACCTACGCTCCTGGGGCAGCTGAGGCTACAAGAAGACAGGAAAGGCCATGAAAGCCTATGGGGAGGGGAGAGGGGGTGGAGGTGGCAAGAGTTCACCTGGTGGGAGGAGGGTAACAAAGGCCGGGATCTGTTTCTCACACCTGAAGGGGAAAGGGAGGTACTGGTTGCGAGCGTCTCTTTCCCTCTGGATTACTGCAAGAAACCAATGGGACCACTTCTCTCTAACCACAAAGACAGAGAGGCACAAGCCCCTTCTTGGGTCTCATCTTTGTCCCCAAAACTAAGACAAGGCAAGGACATTCCTTTCTATGGATTAATTTGTCACTGGAGGCCCCGAGCTTGTGTCGACCCGTTTTCTGTTTTTGTTCACACACAGCTCAGGCTGGCTCTGCAGTGGGGCAAGATCCTAGGCAAGTCTGCACAGGACAGAGGGAGTGACCCGGGGCCTGGGCAGGGAGGGTCAGGCCACAACAGAAAATGATACCAGTGGCCCTATTCTGAGACCTTTGTTCCCGGGTCTAAGCAGCACAGGCTGTCAGCCCTTGATCACACACTTGGCTCCTGAGGCCTTGGTTGTCCCAGCCACATGCACTGTGGTCTACCACATTAGACCAGAGCCCAGAGAAAGGGGGTCACAGCCTAGCAGGAATCACTCCCCAGCCCTCAAAACTATGCTACAAACATGTCTATGTGCTGGGGACACACACGGGGTGGGGGTGGGGAGACAGAGAGACAGAGACAGAGAGACAGAGACTGGGCACATGCTCTGTGCTGAACAGAGGAAGAGCAGAGAGGATAGAAGTGAGACGGATGTTGGGGATAACTCCTTAGGCCGTATGATGTACACATGACTGGTTACCATGAGCTTGAACAAGTTCATTGGCCTCCTCATCACTAGGGCCACACAATGAAAGACCATACTCTCTAGCCCAGGGTACCAAGGGTGCTGCTGCTGCTGCTGCTGCTGCTTCCTCCTCCTCCTCCTCTTCCTCCTCCTCCTCTTCCTCCTCCTCCTCTTCCTCCTTCTTCTCTTCCTCCTCCTCCTTCTCCTTCTTTATTTCATGTGCATCAGTGTTTTGCCCGCATGTGTGTCTGTGTGGGGTGTCAGTGCTCTTAGGGTACATGGTGTACTATCACATTAGACTCCCTCCCCACTGCGCCCTCTGCCACAAGAAAGCCTGAGAGGTCCAGGGTGATGAGGGCAGTTTCTGCAGCTCTGACCTATTGTCCCAATGCCATGAGGCCATGCTCAGTGTGGATGGGGACATCCATGGGGCTGCTTGCATAACGAGTCTCACTGTGCTTGTTTGTTTAACAAATTGACTCTTAATCTCAGCATCTGCAGTGGTTGAAGTGACATTGACTGAAAGGAAGTATTTTAAAGACACAGTTTTTGCATGACATAACTCCAGCCACTTAAAGGCACACAGCTTTAATGGCATCTAGTATATTCACAAAGTTAATCACACAGTCAATCTTAAAATGTTTTTGTTACCTCACCCCCAAAGATGCCCGGCATTTCCTAGACATCAACCTCCTTCTTCCACTACCTTCCAACCACGATCCTGAGTTCTATTTCTATAATTTTGCTGTTGTTGTTGTTGTTGTTTTGTTTTGTTTTGTTTTGTTTTGAGACAGACGTGGTGAATGACGCCTTCAATCCCAAGTACTGGAAAGCTGAGGCAGTAGAATTTCCATGACATCAAATTCAGTCTGGGCTACAATAATGAGTTCCAGGCGAGTGTGCGACTCTCAAAAACAAAGAAACGAAAGAATAACAGAGGGCAGAGGATGCAGCTCACTTGAGAGAGCGCATGCCCAATGTGCACCAAGTCCTCGGCATGATTCTCCACGTGGCACAAGCCGGAAATGACGGCCCAAACCTGTGATCCCAGTGCTTGGGAGATAGAGAAAAGAGAACCAGAAGTTTGAAGACTTCCTCGGCTACAGAGGGAATTCACAGCCGCCAGGGGTGCCTGAGACCCTGTTTCAAAAATAAAAGAAAAGAAAAGAAAACATAGACTTATAATAATAATAATATGGAGCTCACGTCTCTAGTACTTTCCCTTGTTTGTTTAAGTCCTAGCTCATGCAGCCTTGAGGTAAGTTGGAACAATAGAATTAGCTGTTACAGGGTCTCACTCTGTAGATTGCAGACCAGGCTGGCATTGAACTCTGGCCCCTGAGTGCTGGGATTTAAGGTATGCACCACCACGCCCAACCCAGGATTATATTCTGACATCATGACCTTGGAGTTGGAGAGATGGCCCAGTGGTTAAGAGCACTTGTCCCTCCTGCAAATGACTTAGGTTCGGTTCTCAGCACCAACAGGGAGGCGTACAATAATCTGTAACTCCAATGCCATGGAATCTGGTGTTCTTTTCAGGCTTCTGAGGGCACTGCACACACATGTTACACAGATAGCCATGTAGCCAAAACACCCATGCACATAAAATAAATAAATCTTTTTAAAAACATTTATTTATTTATTATGTATACAGTATTCTGTCTGTGTGTATGCCTGTAGGCCTGAAGAGGGCACCAGACCCCATTATAGATGGTTGTGAGCCACCATGTGGTTGCTAGGAATTGAACTCAGGACCTTTGGAAGAACAGGCAATGCTCTTAACCTCTGAGCCATCTCTCCAGCCCCAAATAAATAAATCTTTTAAAAAAAATAAGACAAAATCAAATATGGCCTTATGCCCTAGTTAGTATCTTCATTGATCTGATAAGCTCAGAGCTCTCTACCCTCTGAGCTCAAAGATCTCTCTGACCTCTATAACTATATAAGGATTTTCTTTGTTCTGTGGGCTGTTGAATCTCTACCAAATCCCAGGCTCCCCCGGCTGTGAGTGGCTGGCATTATCAAAGGACCTGACCACTTGAAAACCATCTCCACACATCTCCCTGATAAAATAAATATTTTTTTACGTGTGTGGATATTTTGCTTTGCATGCATGTATCATTTGTTTTCTTGGTGCCTGAGGAGGCCAGAGAATGCATTAGGTCCCCTGAACTGAAGTTACAGATATTTGTGAAGTTGCCATGTGGGTACTGGAAAGCCAACCCAGGTGTCCTGGCAGGGTGTCAGTGCTCCTAACTACTGAGCCATCGCTCCAGCCCATGAAAAGAATCTTTAGTGTCAGTTGTTCATGGTGACCCATGCCTTTCAGCCCAGCACTCAGACACTCAGGAAGCAGAGGCAGGCAGATCTGAGTTTGAGGATAGCCTGGTCTTCTTATGAGCTCCAGGCCAGCCAGAGCGGTCTAGTGAGACCCTATTTTAAAACAAAATCTTTAATCATAAAAACGCCATGGAGAGACCACTGTTGTCTTTCCTTACTCTCGCTTTAGTCAGTTGAAAAAGGTTTTCCCTTGTTTCCAGTTCTGCTGCTATGAACATTTATGGACGCATATTCCTGCTGTATGAACATGTGTTTGCTCAGTTCTCTTGTGTATATTCATAGTAGTGAGTGTATTTTGACAGACTGGAGAGAGGAAAAGTAGGGAAAGCAGAAAATCGCTCTTAGCCATGAGTGGGATCCACTTGGTGGCTAAAATCAAGTGGAGACACTGCTACGTTTGTAGTTTGGAAAAGGCATAAGCTGTGCGGAGCAGGAATGGGAACTGAGGCTGGAGGATGACATTCGATAAACTCACAGTGCTTTGAATCCAGAATTCAGGGGCCTGGATAGAAATGTAAGAATACTGATTATAACTTTCTCAATAAAATATTAAGTAGCGCAAGCAGCCTTTCCTAACGAATAGTTCTGTCTCCATCTCCCAGCTGAGGAAATCAAAGTTCACAGAATGAATTGGCCTAAGTTTGGCTGGAATCTGGTAAATTTCAGAACAACTTGTTTTCCCTTTCTTGCTACAACATGGTCTGACTTTGTTGAAATTAGATAGAAATATATGTTCATGTCCTGCTTGTGAATTCCATCACAGTATGAACACACTTCAGGATCACCAAGGTTATTCTGTTTTGTTTGAGATAGGTATAGCCTCGAACTTCTTGCCTAGCTGAAGTGGACCTTGAACTCCTAACCCTCCTGCCTCTATCTCCCAAGTGCTGGAATT